CTTGACTAGGAGAGCTGCAGAAACTACATTCAAGATATTATAAATGACTGCTTTTTTGAGAAACTAACCAGAAAAACCAGCAAAAGGAGAAATAACATTACCAGCTCAGAAAGACTCTTTGTAAAGGCCACTAGGCAAAAATCACTATGATGTACTCATATCAGATGTTCTTTAAGAAGCAAAATAATCCACAACAGTAATATTTAACTTAAAAGAGAAAGTGAGGAATGCTGTTAAAAAGAATTTGAAAAGAGTAACCAACAAGTCTGAATGCTTGAGGCAGCATGAAGATTGTTTAAAGATGCTGTATTAGTGGCTCAGAGCAAATGTACCTATCAAAATAAAGACATTTCAAAGCATCCAAAAAGTCACCATAGTTAAAAGGTGCAGTAAAGGAAAATATTAAAGCAAACAGCCTTCAAACAGTGGAAGTCAGCAATTTTCCAATTATTAACCAGTGAATAACCTATCATTTAAAATTGGACATAGTAGCAGAGGAATGGAAAGAAGCAAATGTGAACCCTTTTAAAGAACTCCTGGAAAACTACAAACCAGCCAGTGTTATTTCCATTCTGAACAAACTGGTAGAACCAAATAGACAGTAAAATGATTAGATGCATAAATAACTATAATCATAATGTTGAAGGCTCAGCATATTTTTGTGGAAGGACACCCTGCCTCAAAAGCCTGTTGCAATGCTTTGAAGGAGGCAGCAAACACAGAGGTACATATGATCTGCTTGATGGAGGATACTTGGATTTTCAAACAGATTTTGAACAGAAGGTCTTTCACCAAAGGCTCTTAAAGAAGTGATTGTGGAGTATAAAGGAAGGTATTCCCAAAGAATAATAATTTGTTAAAATGGGAGACAAATTGCTAGTAATAGTTTCAATTTACCCACTGGAATCCCACAAGTTCTGTGTTGGGATCTTTGCAGTTCAGCATAGTCAAAAAAGACCTGGAAAATGGTAGAAACAGTCAATGTCAGAGTTCATATATGACAAAATTATCTTGGGTAGTCAAAAGAAAACTGGATAATAAGCTGCAAGAGGATCTTATGGTGTAGGGTGAATGAGAGACAAAATGATAGACAAAGTTCAATGTCAATAAATGCAAACTAATGCAAAAACCCTAGTAGTCTCTGAAACAACGATGAGCTCTCAGATCACATTAAGAGGTCAGGATTGCCCTGGATAGGTCAACAAAAGAATCATTTCAATGTTTAGCACTAGTCAAAAAAGCAAACAGCAGACAGACTAGCAGCTGCCAGAATGTGGGTGGAAAACAAGATAGAAGACATCATTTTACCACTATGCTGAAGTGTAGTGGGGTATCGTTGACCACTTCATGCCGTTCTGGTCAACACCTCTCACAAAAGAGAGAGATTAATATTAAAGATCTGGAAGTTCTCCTGTATGGGTAATGATTGAACAGCCCAGGATACTTCAGCTGGAGAAGAGATGATTCATATGAGGGATTATAAAGAAAGCAAGTGAAATCATGGGTGCAGTCAAGAAAGTAAGTAGGGAACAGTGATTTACTGTTCCCAGGTTATGGGAATTTGGGGACATCAAGTATAATTATCTAGCAATAGGCTTAATGTAAATACAATGGATCACTTCTTCACACAAAGCATAAATTATACTGCATAACTCATTGCCAGAGGGTATTGTGGAAGCCAAAGACAGAACAACCAAAAATAATTAAACAAACAGGTGGAAGAAATGTCTTTTAAGGGAAAGCAAACATAAAGAAGCACATACAACATACAATCTCAGAGGTCCTGAATCCTCTGATCCTCGTGCACAGGACTGCTGAACTGTAAAACCTGCTACCGGATAAGAACCATGCTTTGTTCTTGTACTCTGGCCTGTATCATCCCAGGATACTGGATAAATGATCTTCAGCTTTGCTCAGTAACTATTGTCATCCTTTCAATCTAGCTTTCCCACCTTCCACCTTCAGGGAGAGTAATCTAATTATTTACTGTACTGAGTATACTACTAGGCTACAGTATACCTAGTAGGAGCCTCCTCAGATTTCTTCTGCAGAAACTTTTCTGTCCACTATTGAGAACAATTCCAGAGACTGGTTCTTATAGTCCAGAACATAAGGTACTTACTGGGATGGCAGAGGGCCAGATATAAGGCCATTTTCATCCGAACAGTTATCTTCCAGAACTTGAGAAATTTCGACAACATAGGTGTAGAGAAAGAGAGCCCATGACAGGCCCAAATCGCTTCTCCAAAACAGCAGAGGGAGGAACTGACCCAGAGAACCGAATCTCTGTTTCGGACAATACACTGGGTTACAGGGAAATAAGAGCACCAGATGTTCCTCCAGCTGTGGAGTGCAATCCGGCAGATACATGCTCCATTTTAGCCATCCCAAAATTAGTGGTCTCAGTTGCCTAATATCCCCTTACAGTCAATGGAGATGGATATATATTTCCAGGCAGTGATTGATTCAGCCCCATTGTCCTTAGACACTTGTCTTAGGATGGATTAAATTGCCTCCAAAGACATTGTTCTTCATATTGATTATAAAGAGATGCTACATAATCAGTTGAGACCAGGCACTTCAGTTTTATACTGCTAGAGTTTGATCAGGTAAGACCTCCACATTCAGAGATGATGAAGCCAGAGCAGAGGTGAAGGTGCAGCTTGGAGCTGCAGCACAGGCTGAGACGCTGGTGGACTGAGGGTCTGGCAAGCGCTGGCTGGGAGATAGACAAGAGAGAGAGGGAGACAAGTAATCAAGGAGACCTGGTGGAAGGTGGAAAACCTATGGTATACCATATTGCCAGGCCACCAATGTTACAGAAATAATGGAAAAGTCTGTAATGTTAGGGGAGCTGCACTGAATGTGAAGGATAATATGATGTGCAACAGCATGGAAATATTGTGGGAAAGACCTACAGATGGAAATCTGAGACTCTAATAATAAAAACATAGTACAATTAGAACAATGATGGTGATCAGACAATGTTAAGTGAGATTAGAGAAGCTGAAAAATTAGGACAGCTCGTAATAGCGGAAGATTTCATCCACTCTTATACAGATGAACTTAATGCTTCACTAGGTTGAGTTGTGGAAGCAATAAATGATTACTTCCCAGATTAAGAAGTCTAAATTGTTTGACCCACAAGGAAATATGCTATTCAGGATGTGATCTGGAATGATGCACAAGACAGTTCAAGAGGTAGAAATGGAAGAGCCACTTTGTAATAATGCTCACAACAAAATTAATTTTAACTCTGTAGTGGGAGAGAGCAAGCTAAATAAATGCAGCGCATGGATATTCAACTTCAAGGAACAGAACTATGTAAAAATGAAGCAGTTAGTCAAAAAACACCTAAAAGGAGCAGTCCAAAAACTCAAGATGATTACAAGCAGCTTGGAGGTCGTTCAAAATGCTGTACAGCCAGTAAAGGAATTGGTGGGCCATTTGAGACCCGTGGGTTAAAAGGGGTACTCAGTGATGATAAGGCCATAGCAGAGAAGCTCAATGACTTTTTTGCTTCAGCTGTTACTGCTGATGACACTAGAACGTGTCTCACCCCAGTGAGGGTCACTGCAAAGAGCTGCTGCACTGAGGACTGGGAGGTTGCCATCATGATCCCATCTACAGTTGGGGCTCCAGAGGGGATCCTGAGATCCACAGACAAGAGGGTCTGATCTCTCTCCTGGGATATGGCAGAATCTGCTGTGAAGAACAAGCTCTCTGAAGGCTTGGAAAAATACAGCCTCTTGCAAAAGGGTCAGCAAGGCTACTGTAAGGGCAAGCCCTTCCTCATGGACCTCCCACAGCTTTGTAAGGGTGCCAGTAAGGACACAGATAAAGTGTATATATTTTTCGTTTTTCAAACAGTCTTTGATGAGGTTCTCCAGAAAAGTATATTAAAAAGCTAAGTCGCCATGGGACTGGAGAAAAGGTCCTATTATGGACTGAGAGCTAGTTAAAGCATGGGGTGCAAAAGGCAAAGGCTTAATGGTCACTTTTCAGCATGGATAAGAGTCAGCAGTGAGGCCCAAGAGATTGGTGCCGGGACTGGTCTTGTTCAACGTGTTCATCAGTGACCTCAAGCACAGGGAGGTGCAGTTAAATGAGTTACAGCTCAGGCAAGATCTTGGAGTCATTGCTGGCAGTTCTCTGAAATCATCAGCTCAATGTGCAATGTCAGCCAAAAAAAGCCAGTGAAATGCTGGCCACCATCAGGAAGGGTGATAATAACAAAGCAGAGAGCATTCTTTTGACCTTCTGTAAAACCTTGGTGCATCCATATCTTGGGGGCTGCACGTGCCTCTGGTCTCCGCATCTCGAGAAGCACACAGCATGGTTGAAGAGGATACAGAAAAAGACAATTAAAAAGATTGCAGAACGGAGCAGCTGCAGCACTAGAACTAGGGACACTCAATGAAACAAGTAGAAGACTGGTTTAAAATAGACAATGAGCTTGGGCAAATTCGAGAACAGTAGATCTAAAACAGATACTAAAGGGAATAGGTAGGGATCTACTCTCTAACATCTCTAATGCAATGGTTGCACCTGCTGTCAGAGAACAAGGGGAATGGACTGCAGATAGTAGCCAGGTTTGCTGCTCTCCCTAAACAGCATCTCCTACTGCCACTGCTGGAGAAAAAACCTAGGCTAGGTGGAGCATCATCTGACCTGGTAGGGCACATTTTACACTTTTAAGAAATGAAGCGATATTCATAGACAGATGGGTCCAGGAAGTGTTAGTGTTGGCAGACAGGAGGTTAATAATACCTGAAAGTTAAGCAGCAAGGTAGAAGCAAGAGGATGGGGTGGAAGGTAAATCACCAAAATGAAAATGTCATATATAAGGGTGAAATGAAGAGGGAGAGCAGTGTATCCTTATCAGAAAGAAGAAAAAGAACAAGAGCCACATTATTCTGTGGGTTTTAACAAGCATTTTGACACTGAGTATTTTCATGGTGTCATCAGTCTTTGTTGCCCTAATTGCTGCTTTTTCTCACCTGTATGTACCAGCAAGAACTTGGTCACAATCGATCAGGGTAAACTTCTCCAAAACCCGGCCCACAAATTTCTTGCCTGCTTTGCTGTAGTATGTATCTCCACTCAGACATCTTATGCGCATGTTCTGAAACCAAAGAAAGGAGCATTGGTAAGAGGCTATGCATTGAATTAAAATGGAATACTCCCTTAGGTATCAATGATGGCTTATCTCAAGCTGGAGCCCTATTTCTGAAAGTAGGATGTAGCAAGGCATAAAGTATTTTCTGGCTTTTGCATACCAAAATAGTTTGTCACAATGCTGCTTCCATAAGATAAAAATACCAGCAAATATTAACAAGTTGCAAATGTTATTTTGAAAAAAATTTGGAGAATCCTGATGTTGTAGAACATTTCTGAAATATGTGAGACTATATAATGAGGCTCTCAGTATCTGTCAGGAGCGTTTCATCAGATGAAGCGCTTGCCCATAATAGATGTTATTTGCACCTTAGCTGGGGCAAGCCGAAGAGGAGAACAGAGAACACTGGATACAGTTATTGGACTGGTCTATATGATGCAGTGCTAAACAAAACATCTAGTATGTAAACAAACATCCCTAGTGCTGCATCAACACTGGCATACTAGATCATCCCATACTACACCTCAAGGCCAGTTCCCAGTCACCTGCGCTGCCTAGCACCAGCCTATCAAAAGATGAAGACCAGCAGTGATGAGCTGTGACAGGATGGTGTGCAAGCACATTGCTGGTACTGTTTTGTCCCTCGGCAGAGAGGTTGCATGCTGGAGGTTGGTGCATGCTTGGGCAGGCCTTCCCTCAGCCACAAAGGAGTTTCCAGTCTGGCCAGACACATTTTTCAACAGCCGATGCCAGGATGCAGGCAAAAAAGACAAACATGAGTAGTTGTGATTTGTCTACAAATGCTCTCCTCCTCCCCCTTCTCCCAAGGAAGATGTGTGGGTTCACAGGGCCATCCATATTCAGCCAGTGACTGGCTTGTCCAGTCTGGCCTCACGTGGGGTTCCCAGTGCAGAAGTTGTGCCTCAGGGGCGAGGAGCAGGAGGTGGTCACCCTGCCGAAGGCAGAGCTCAGCTCCACTCCCACCAGCCTTCCTCTTCTGTAACAGTCCTTGCAGGTGGTAGGTGGACTTCTTGGAAATAGCCCAGCATCTGCTGGGGAGCTCACTGCAGCAGGGCGTGCTTGACTCTTACTCTGAGGAAGTCTCCCTGCCGGTGCAAGGAGCACCACTGCTTGCAAGGCTTCACAAAAGCAGCAAATCTCATCCAGACCAGGGGCCTATCAAACCCAATAGTCTATCTCTACAGTGGTCAATGGTAGCTAAGGAAGAGTAGGAAGAGGACAATGATTTATGATGCTGCCTCCTAATACTGTTGCAGCCTCTGTTTTCTGCTCAAGGGACTTCCTGAGCGTCTTTTGGTTTATCTCAGTGGTAACCCCACCCGTTCTCCAAGTAGTTGTCCAGTCTTCTCTTCAGCTCATGTAAACTTTTAGCAGGGACAGACTGAAGCTTCACAACCTTTGCACTGTTATCCTCACTTGTTACCTTCTTGCTTCCCAGAACATGTCATTTGTCACCTAGGGGAAAGGAGAAACTTTTCTCCTTGAAGACAGTCACCCATTGAAACACATTGCTCAGAGAGGTTGTGCAGTCTCCATCCCCGGACATTTACAAGACTAGACCAGGTAAGAGCCTGAAAACCTTTATCTGCTCTCATAGCTGACACTGCTTTGAACAGGCGATGAGATACGATGATTACCTGAGGTCCCTTCCGACTTGAATTGTCCTATGATCCTACGAAAAGCCTCAACAGGTTGCTGAAAGAGAGCAAGATACACTGGTGTCTTGGAGAGCTGTTCAACTAATCCTGTTGCCAGCCAACACAGGATTTTTTTTCTTCCAGGGCTGAGGTTTTAGTAATTCTTGTTCGCACTGGGAGGAGCTTCCTATCCCCTCAGGGAAGTTAAAACCGCTCCAAGTAAGGGATATTCCATAGATTTCTCTGCAGTATTTCTTCACTCCCTCTGTCCTTCCAACAGTTGGCTGAGTTTCTATTACCTTGCTCATTTCTTCCATCCTCTTCTTCCTCTTGTCAGTCCAGACCCCAAACTTTCCAAACAGGATGAGAATCATGAAGTCTTGCAGGAAAGCCAGACTGCCATGTATCACTCTCACTTGACTTGGACAGTAGTCATAGGTCCAGTAGACGACTAACTGAAAAATCAAACAGTTGAGTCTTCTGCTGTGACCCCTGCCAATGCTTGAAGCACTACTGCAGGATTTGCTGATGCTCAGCTCCGGGATTTGATACCATGAGGCTCATACAATGTTCTTAGAAGTAAGATGCTGGAGGGTGATGTGCCCCAAATTCCCCACTAAACCCCAGCTTGTCACCAGTTATCCAAATGGAGATTTACCATCATATCTGGTCTCAACTGAAAACCAGGAATAAAATATGTATACTCATTCCATTTAGATGTGAATACCAAGCATGTATGTTAATGTTGCTTGACATGCATCAGCCTAAGAGGCACTTCACATAGAAACCTGCGAATGAGTCACTGAGTGGGGGAGGGAAGTGTTAATTAGTTATTCAAGTACAAGAGATGACATCAAGTCTAACAAAGAGACATAGACATCTCCATGGATGTAAACCAATGGCAATTTTCATTAAAAACAATGGCCAGATTCTTGGATAAGAAACAAATAAAATACATTTTGGGGTGATGAGATTTATCTGGATCCACCAGCTGACTTCACTGATGTAGATATTTATGAAAGCGAATGTGCTCCAGCACGACAAGCTTCTCTCTAACAGTTGCCATCTGAAAAGGCAGGATGAAATGGGTCTGGCTTGTGAGAAACAAGAAAGGACAGAGCATCACCAAAATGGGGGAAGAAGAAAGCCTCTCTAAATTAAACTTTGTGTAGACAGGTCAAGAGTGAGGAGAAGTTAAGACAGCTGTAACTGCGTCTATTTTGAATGTTGTAAAACTTTATTTTTGCATCTTTGCATAGCCTGTTTTTTAATTAAGAACAGTTTTGAGATAACTGAATAACCTCCAAGCATCCTCTACCAAGAAGAGGGGAAATATATGAACTGGGTGGCTGGAAGAGTATCAACCCCATGACTCCAGGGAATCCTGCTCACCCCGAGCAGGAGCACAGGCACGAGTGCTGGCCTCGCAAGACTGACAAATGACATGGCAAGACATCTTCCATGGGTAGGTGGTAACCAGAAGGCTATATGGTGGTCAACTGACTGAGCCTAGGAGTTCCCAAGGGAGCTTGCCACACTGACACTTTAGTTTTTATTATTTGTCTGCTCTGGGCACCACGTGCCATTGCTAATGGGCACGTCATTGAGTAGGGAACCAGGCTCTTCACAAATCCTTCACGAACTCAGGTCACAGGCTGAATCACAAGCCCAAAAGCAGATCCTACAAGGACATTTTTAAGATTTGGTTTCACATTGAGGTTGCGCACCAGAGTCAGGAGGAAACGGTAGATTTTTGCATCAGGACTTCAAAAGGCACTCTCTGATTCCCTTCGCCGCACAGTTATCGCACTACCACAGCTCTGGCCCGAATCTAAAGTTAAGCTGAGGGATTTGAACTAAGAGGAGTTTAAGTCTTGCAATTCTGTGTCCTAGGACAAGGTTAGAGAGAGGACAAGGAGAGGAGATGATACAGATCCACAGGAGGGGAGATGGTACAGGTCCACATGAACATAAGTTTCCTAGTCCACCTCTGTATGTCTGTCTGCACTAGCCCAGCCAAGCTTTCAGTAAGGCTTTGTCTTATTTGCCTTGACCTCACACTTGTGGGGTGTAAAACTGGAATGAAGACCACAAAATACCAAGACACAGGACTAGAAGGGCTCTTCTTCTTCCTCCTCTGTGTTTAGAGACAGATCTCAACTTCCTAGAACAAACAGCCATGATCTCTTAGCCTGGGACAGTTAGACAAGGTGGGGCAAGTGGTCCTAGAGACCAGCTAGAGGGAAGTAGCATTTTTTTTTTATCAATTCTAAGGCTTAGTTATCACATCCAAAGTGCGACTGAAAACTTACTGGGAAGTTGTCTTCAGTCAGAGCCATTTTATTGCACATTTCCACAAAATGCTTCAAGTATTCTTCGTCCAGGATCAGGTAAACAGGGACATGCCGTCTGCTTGAGGCCTCCAGCAGGTCGCACAGTATCTCCATGTCTGTAAACAGATCCATCACAATTGCTATCACCTAGCCAGGAGAAAAGGGGTGGGGGATGGATGGAAAAAAGACTGTTGAAATCATATGACCAAGTTGATTGTGCTACAAACTGTGAATTAAGTCTTCAAACCTCCAGAGTTTCAGGGTAAGTACAGCCAAGAGCGGTGATTGCATCTGGACCATTGTGTTTAATAGTCCTTACCCCACCATGGTAGATAAAATCACTTTTAATACCTATGAAGATATTCCCCACCCTGCCACCTCCTATCTCATCAATCTGTCATTCACAGAAAAAAAATAGCAGGAAGGGTAGTGCATGCACACAGACTCTCAAGATCATTTGTGCAACAATATATATTGTCTTAAACAAATGTGCCAGAATACATAAACAGGAAAGCCTGAGAATGGCCAAAATCATGATTCAGCTGGTGTAAGAGTGACTCCACGGATGACTGGCATATTAATATAAGGGGGTATCATTTCTTCAGGAAGGACACACTGCCAGGTAAGGGAGGTGGTATCTCAATCTAGTATGTACTTGTCCTTGTCCCAAGATCACACCCTAGGGGGAACTACACTTACTCATCAAATAACACAAGCAGAAAGGGACCTCTGGAGGTCATCTCGTTCCCCCATATGCCCCTGCTTAAAGCAGGGCCAATGTCAAAGCTATATCCAACTTCAGAGTTATATCAGATTGCTCAGTGCCTTCTCCAGCTGAGTTTTGAATATATCCAAGGATGGAGATTTTCACAGCCTCTCTGGGTCCCTGTTCTAGTGTCTGATCACCTTTATCATAAAAAACAATTTCTTAATATGTAATCAGTATTTCTCTGGTTCCAGCTTGTATCCATTGCCCCTAATCTACTTGCTCTGCAGGTGTGAGAAGATTCTAGCCACAGCTCCTCAATAAACTCCCATTAGGTGTCCAAAGACAGCAATGAGATCTCCCCTTCTCCAGTCTGAACAAACAGGTCTTTTGGCCTCTTCCTATCATAGGCTCCATATGATAGCCTGTGACTATCTCAGTGATGTCCACTGGAGTCACTCCAGTATGTCAGTGTCTGTCTTGTACTAGGGAGCCCAAATCGGGCCCAGCATTGCTGAGGGGGTCTCACCAATGCTGAATGGAGGAGAACGATCCCTGCTGGCTGCACTCTTGCCAGCACAGCCCAGGATGTGGATGAGCTTCTTTTCCACAAGAGCACGGTTGATTCTGCCTAACTTGTCCATCAGGATCCCAGGGCCCCTTCCACAAAGCTGCTTTCTAGGCAATTGCCACCAGCATATCCTGCTGCATGGGGTTATTCCCTCCCAGAGGCAGGACTGTGCATTTGTCTTTGCTGAAATTCATGGTGTTCCTGTCAGCCCATTTCTCCAGTGTGCCAAGGTCCTTCTGAACCGCAACCCTGCCTTCCAGCTTATTGACTGTTCACAATTTGGTATTGCCACAAACTTGCTGAGGTTGTACTCCATCCCATCATCCAGGTCATTAATAAAGATGTTAAGCAATATTGCCATGAGTATTGACCCCTGGGGAACACCACTAGTTGTACTTTGAACCTCTGATCACCACACTTTTTAACCCAGTGATCTAGTCAGTTTTTACACCCACCTTGTAGTCTACCTATCCAAACTGTATCTCACCAATCTGACTGTAAGAAGACTATAGCAAACCATGTCAAAGTCCTAGCCTAAAGTCAAGGTAAACAACGTCCATTGCTCTCCCCTCATCCACACAGCCAGTCATCTCATCACAAAGGCACTCAGGTTGGACAGGCACAGTTTGCCATGCTGGCTTTCACAGTCATGTGCCTGGATATAGCTTACTGAGGTGAGGCTGACTGCCCTGTAGCTCCCCAGTCTCTCCTTCTTGCCCTTCTTGAAGATGGGTGTGATATTTGCCTTTTTCAGTTATGAGTTACATCTCGTCCCTCCCCATCCTGTGATTGCCATGAGCTTTCAAAGATAATAGAAGCAGCCTTGCAATGATGTCAACCAGCTGAAAGAACCTGCCTCATAAATAAAGTAGAAGAGAACGTCATCATACTGGGGTTTGCCCATACCTCAGCAGACGAGAAAGATAAAATGGATGAAATCCATTATGGGCAATGGGTTGAGTTATCCAGAGATCAGGCTTTTGTGGCAAGGAGAAATCTTTAACTGTTCAGTCATCTTTTGGCAAAGAAATAGAGATGCCTATGAAGCCCTTGAAACGCACTAGTGACAGGTTTTTATACAAAAGATGGAGAAATAACTAATGGGAGTTCTCTTCTGAACTCGACTCTGTCCATAAAAAGGTAGATATTCTAAAATCTCTTGGTGAGAGCAACCATGAAGCAATAGTCAACAATCCTAAGAGTAGGAAGAAAAAATAACACTAAAATTTAAAAAATGTATTTAGAGAAAATCTCTCTCAATAGACCAGAGAACTACAAGATAAGCTCTTTAAGGGAGGAGGTTTAAAATGAAAAAGAAGTTAAAGAGAATTAGCAAATCTTTAAGAACGAGAATGAAGGCGACAATGGCAATCCAGCCCATTGTGGAGGAAAGATGGGATGGAAGGTAAGAGACCATCCTGGCTAAATGAACTCTCCAAAACCTAGAAAAAAAATAGAGAATGAAAGGTAAGTCATGACAAGTATGTAGTACAAGTGAGTCGTCCCAGAACAAGAAAATTCAAAGTATAAAATGACCTGCAACCAGGACAATGGATCAAAGGAGATCGGCCATAAACAGATTAAGATGTGACTGGAGAAGCTGCTCTACTCTTACGCAAAGATTGACACTGCCAGCAGACAACAGCAAGAAGGCTGCTATTTTGATCAGGAAGTGACAGCTGTGATCTGTTAGCCACCACTGTTAGTACTGGGGATGGAGGAGCATCTTGGAGAAGGAAGGAACGGGCAGGAAAGCTGAGACGGATGGTTAGCCAAGTCTCACAAACTTCCCTGAAGGGTGCTCACAGAACGGCCCAGTAACCTAGACCTCAAACCATTAAAGGTTAATATTAAGATCTCAGGGAAGATGGTAACATGCTGGGGGACTGAAAAAAGTGAGGTAACCAAGGAATTACAGACAGGCCAGCTTCATTTCAAAAGCTGAAAAAATACTGGAACTACTAATCAGGCATATTAGTCCCAGTCCTTACAATATCTTAGCAGTAAATAAGATAATTGTTTGGCACTTGTAAGTTGTGTGTATAACTCCGCTTTCAAGTCTCTGTACCTAGTAGAGAATGCCCCAATAAAGATGATCCAAGAGCTCTGAGCATTTCAGTGAAGCTCCAATGGCCCTATTTACCTCAATGTATGTGCTCTGCACTATACCTGGCGTGCAAAACCCATGATAGAGCTTGTCCCTGCTGCCCATAATACATCCTGTGAGAAGGTGGGAAACCTGTTCTCAGAAACCTTTTCTGCCTGTGTTAGAGCATGACCATGAATACAATTCTCCACGGCCTGAGGCACCTGTGGAGTAGACTCTGTGGGGTGAGCTTTCTTCTGCCACTTCTGCTCCGCTTTGAATAAAAATTTAAATGCTGATGATGGCTGTGAGACTAACTCTTCTGTATGCAGTGGTTCAGGCTTTAAACTGGGCACTGCCTGAATCAGGTTCATGGGTCTGACCTGAAACAGTTGCAGGAAAGAGAAGCTCAGAGTACTGCTGCACCTAGGACACGGGGACAGGCTCACATCTCTGCTCCAGATCCACAGGCTGGGCCCAATGGCCTGGCAGGTGGGGTAGCTCTCCTGCTCTGTGTTTTGCCATGAGCAGAGCAGGGGCCCCTGCCGGCCTTATTTTGCTCTCTTATCTAATCCTTTGCTTAGCATGCTGGCTCCTCTCGGCCCTGTGCTTCAGCTCTGTCTGTCTGCACACACCACCAAGAGACCCTCTGTACCTGGGCCATGGTAGCATAAGGCAGGAATGGCCAAAGGTTCCTCTCTGCGA